GCATCTCTATGTTCCAGGGACCAGAAATTTCCAATCCAAACCATGACAATGACCCTAGGTATTTACGATAGCAGCAAGCAGTTTTTCTGCATTGTGAATAGTCTGTACAGTCATGCTGATTGACTTTCCTAATGCAACATATATGAATATGTGTGTGGATTTGCATATTGATTTACATATGTATTATGAGTATGATAAGTATGTGGAGCCATCCTGGCAATGTTTTCCATCTCATTGAGCTACACTCTAATAGAAAGGTAACAGGATTCCTTGCTATACAGACACACTCCCCACATTATCCACCAGATGGCTGTGTTAGAAGTCATTCTGAAAGTGAAATTCTGTCCACTGAGTTTTTATTATTGTTGCTTTGGGGCTTGTTTTGCCTCATTTGAGAGGGGGAGGGATGATATTTTTGTTTCTGTGAGACAAAAAGTTTCATTGTAGCTTAGGCAAGCCATATACTCAGTATGTAGCTGAGAATGACCTTGAACTCCTGACCTTCCTACCTTCCTTTTGCAACATTTCCAAGTGTTGTGATTACAGGTATATGCCACCATGCACCATGCCTGGGCTGATGAGTGTTACTGAATTCAAACTTTAAATCTAGAGAAGCCGCAGATGGAGAGGTAACATAGAAACAAGAGGAGTTACACTATTTGAAAGTACTTTTATAATTTTAGAATCTGTTCTTAGAGGTTGACTTAGCGAGGATTACGCCAAAGAGGAATGCATTTCCAATTGTTTATTTAAAGTGGCTAATTCCTTACATGTGACATGAAAGTAGGAAGACTATTTGGAGGAAGGAAGGAGCCAGGAGGATGGGAGAAGGGCATGGGGAGACCTTGAATACTCACAAAGAATCATGATCTATAGGAGTGAAAAATGACAAGATCTATTATTTTGTAGGCCAATTTTAAAAATAACTTTGAAGTGTCTAATTTTTAGAATGAATGCTTTAAAGAGAACACATGCATTAAAGAAAGTATAAAACTTTAAGACCTCCATTTAAACAATCTCTGAATGAATCCATTTTTGCTCAAGGAGTAAAAATTACTAATGAAAAATCTACATATTGTGCTTGCAAAGTAATGTTTGATTACTTTTAGTGCTTTCTCAAAACACATTTTGTTAAAAATCAATCCTATTTATCATCTGATAAAATTGGACAAATGAGTAATGTTCATCAGGGTACCGTTTTCCTCCTCAATGTTAACTGTCAACCTAGTTCAGTCTCTACAACAGAAATGGTCAAAGAGAGAATCTGTTCCCCAAAACTGTCATTTTACCTTTGCCATTCGAGCACATATGAAAGCATGTGTGTCCTCTCCCACAGAAAATAAATAAATAAGTATATGTTTAAAATGTTGAGTGTTGAACCATAATGTGATATAATATAAATTCCTGTGTTTTGAGGTTATAAAAATTTTAAATGCTTCTCTGAAAAAAAAATCTGCCTTGCTCATCATAATTTGCATGACAATTATGATGCCTGTCAGAAGCCAAAAGCATACCTGATATGATTATATCTGAGGAAATATGTAGAAGTTAGCTTGATTCGGGAAATAACCAGGCTAGCTAAAAGATAAAACAATCATATTTTTACTTATTACAATGGAAAAACTCACGAAACAGGAACGGGAAGTCCAAGCTCAGCTGTGCCTTCAGGGAACCACAGAGAGAGAGAGAGAGAGAGAGAGCACCTGGGCCATGCATGTGCAGTTTTTCTTCAGGTCCCAGAAAGCCACACCCAAACCTTGTCCCACCTCTTATAGATAATTGGTTAACAAAGCTTCCCCATCAGAAATATGATATTTTGACAAATAAAACAGAAGAAGAGTCTAGATGAAAGCTGGATCAAGGACACCGAATCACAGATAGAAGAAGCAATGCAGAGTGTTCATGGCATAGTAGGCACCTATGTGGTGAAATTATTCAGTACATCTATGCTGAGAGCTAGAAGAGTCTGTTTTTCAATTTTGGAAAGTCTATTCTCTTTTAGTTAAAGTCTGTAATATTCAAGCTAATAATTAGTTTGTCATAGTTTTGTGGATGCCTGAAGAAGGTGTGAGATTCCTGGGCCAGAGAGACTGCATTCCTCACATGACTAGCCTCAGATATGGTGTCAGTTTCTTCAAGTGGCTTCCTGATCCCTAATCCCCACAAGATGATTAAAAGAGGCAGCTAAGTTTAGGGAATCCTATCTTTGACAATGTGCAATGATTATTCTCACTTTTGTATCACAAGGCTTTATCCTCCAAGGATGTTCGGTTGACAGGCCAAGCAGCTCTAATCCAAAAATAACAATAATTAAAAAAACTTTGAAATGCCCTAAAAATAAAGAAATTTTTGAGCCCCAGCATGACCTCATACACCAAAAATACCACAAAATGAACTTTACTTCACATACAAAATTATTAATTTATCATTTAAATTCACCTTTGGGCTGTTCCTGACAGTCATGGAGCACTTGCTTTCTCAATTTGAAACTTTCCTAAAATCTCCAAGGTAGTGGAGTTGAGTCACCAAATGGATCTGTACAGTTGAGAGGTTTATGGACAGACAGACAGGGAGCCTACTGAGGTGTGCTTCCCTGGAGTAGCCAGATTCCCACCATTCTGAAGAGAATTTAAACAATTGTCGAGGATCTCCTCTCAGGAAGCAAAATTTGGGAACGGTTATTACTCCAAGAGGAATGAACAAGTATGTGCATTTTATTTGGTTAAAATAGCAAGTCTTCCTAAGCACGTTTTATTGCATGCTTAGCAAATGCCAAATACTATTCAGGTTTTCATTTTCTTCCACCTTAGGCAGTAGTAAGGCAGAGAAAGGACACAAGGCACCTGTCTAGCCCACGATGTCCCTGTTTGGTAGGAACAAGTTACTTGAGTTTTGACTTTGGTTCCCTCAGATGATTCTTATAGACTTCTATCAGGATCTCACATAAGCTTGTACTTATGTTAAGAAAACATAGAAAAACTGGCATCTCTTCCAGTTCTTGTTGACACCCAAAAGAGACTGGTAATTTTTCTGAGTACAGGCTGATACAGATGACGAGTTTAATGTCCACTAGCAGGATCCCTGTCTACCCAAGGAGTTCAGGGATCATCTAGCCAAGTCCTCTAGAAAATCAAGTTTCAGAGCATTTGTTTGAATTGCCTAAAATCGTACCTCTAGTTAAAGGTAAAAACTGAAATGCTAGCTTTCTCAGTTCTCTGCCAAGTTTTCTTCCGAATTCAGTGCAACTAAGTAGAGATAGAAGATAAAAACCCACAGCTGTCTTGGGAGATATTGCAAAGCTTAGGTGTTACAGTTGACTCTACCTGCAATTGGATCCCTTCTCAAACTATGTAACTGAGATTCCTTTTGTATGATAACACCTGCTTCATACTATGTAATGATTCTGACCAATTTTGTAACCCAGTGTAGACATAACTTTCATAACGTTAGCTAAATATAGTAAGGCAGTCAATTAAATAGGATATGCATGCAGTAACTCCATCATTACAGATATTTTGAATGGGAAAATATATACAAAACAGAAAAAAAATATCTAGAAGTTAAAATGACCTTTTGACCATGATGATTGAAAAACTACTCATACCATCATTAAAAAGTTTATTGTTTTCAAAATCATTTTTAAATATCTATTTTTATTTTTATGTATGTGTGCTTGTGTGTGTGTGTGTTCTGTATGAGTGAATTTCACATGTGTGTGGGTGATCCAGAAGACAAAAGAGGTCATGACTTCCTTGGGACTGGAGTTACAGGCTGTTATGAGTTCCCTCCTTGGGTGATGGGAACAAAACTTGGCTCTCTAGAAAAGCAGTATGCACTGTTAACCACTGAACCATATCTCTTGTTGGTGACACTCCCCAAAAAGACAAAATTAAAGTCAAACTATATTTTAGAGCCAAGGCCAATTAGTCAAGCTTATAGTAATAGCTTTTTTAAATTATCCACTTCAACTCGAAATATTGCAAACATAGGCATTTGACTTTCTCACTATGGAAAGTACTTAAGTGTAAAACCATTGTATTTCTTAACATGTCAACCCTTGTGTCTGTCTAGGCCATTCTACAGATAACTGAGTCTTTAGGAAACCAATGGCCTTGACAGAAGCCTTGTCTGTGTATACAGTAGAGGATGAGCCTTTGTTATTGATAGGGACCTGTGATGGAAGTCAGTGGCAATGCCACCATATAACTCAGTTGCAAAGATCCTTTAAAAAGTTAAGACCAAAGGCTTAAAGGTCTGGTGGCTCATTCTTTGGCTGGGATCTGAGACCCAGTTTCTGTCATGCAAATTTGTATGCAAATGTGCTTCTGTTTGATGTAACAATTAGACATCAATATAATAATTTACTTTATGGCTTTGAAAAATTGTTTTACAAGTGATGAAGCCATTTTTTAAAAATCCCCAATTTACGAAATTATATTGTTATAAGTAAAATATTTTTCAAAATTCTGAGTCAACGCTTGAGCAAGAATTTAAAAATAATATGTAAAATATTTCCACCTTCCAGTGGGTTTCTATGACTTAGGCTGGAAGTTCAACCATGTCAGTGACTAGTAACTTTGCTGATGAGGGATAACTCTGGCCAACCTTGGGCAAACATTTTTTAAAACTTTAAAGGACAGACCTTTGGTGGTCCTCTAAGCTTCCAGACACTGACAGAACTTCCTCAGTAAGGATGATATTGCCTTCTCTCATAATGAAGTGCTGATTTTTTTCTATCAGGACCTAAGGAAGTTAATGAATCAAAAGTTCTTTCATTTCAAAATGTTTTTTTGAAGTCTGAGATAATAGTATATCTATTCTCAATATTATGAAATAATTTGAAGAAAAAATGAAATAGGAAACTTGTGTCAAGATTGTGCGTATATATTCAAGGCACATGCTATATCACTGATTCTAGGGTGCTGATCCTTCAGGAAGTTTCCTACCTGATCCAGTGTCTGCCTGCAGAACTAATTGAAGCACTTGTCTCTTGTGCCCAGGATGCTGCTGCTCCACTGGTGTCTGCTGTGGCTCCTGTTGCCGCTCACCTCGAGGACCCAAAAGCTGCCCACCCGAGATGAGGAACTTTTTCAGATGCAGATCCGGGATAAGACATTTTTCCATGATTCGTCTGTGATTCCAGATGGAGCTGAAATCAGCAGTTACCTCTTTAAAGATACACCCAGAAGGTATTGTCCTCACAGTGCTTGCTGATCAGTGTCCATAAAAGAGGCTCCATAGAAGACAACAGCCTTCCAAATGGAGTGTTCAAAGTCAACCTATGAGTGGCATTATGTATGATTATGTATAATATGTAGGATTAAACTGAAATTAATTCAACATATATGTTTCTTCTCACATTTGTATTTGTGGAAGGATAGTACCAGGAGGTAGGATGAAATTCTGAGAGACTCAAATGGTGAAAAACTGACAGTGATCATTTCTTTCACTCTACAATAAACAACTGGAGTTCCATAGTGTTTCCAAATATGCCTATCTTTAAAAGTTGTACCCACATATCATAGAAATGATATACTACAAACTATTATATTTAAAATTATGAAACTGTCATGCTTTAAGTCTTCTCTGGCATTCATTGTTAATCTTTTGAATTTTTACCAGAGCAATTTGTCATTTTAACCTGAGATAAATTGACTTTCCAAGAAATAGAATTGTTCCACTAATCCACTTCACAAAGACTGAGGTGAAAGGGATCTTTATGTCATCTTTTCAATTTCTGGAGGGAGTATGGTTCTCTAAAGCTCTTCTGTTTAAAGACCCCATTATCTCACCCTCTGATGAGTTGGAATGAGCACAAATGGCCAGCCAGTCTTGAGAGGTGAAATGGACATTGTTTCAAAATACTGGAGTAAGGCAACTTGTTTGAGGGAATGTGACAGACTAAGAACTGACTCGAAATATAAATAATTATGAGCATTTTAATTAATTAAGTAGTATACATGAGACCAAAAACATAAGATGAAATGCTTAGGAGGAACTTGCTGCCGTGGTCCGCACAAAGGCTCGCTCCGTGAGAATAAGAAAAGATACACAAAGCCTTGCATGACTTCAGAGGACTCCTTAATATTAATTGAATTGTCATTGAGCACAGTTTACAGTTTTGTCCTTGAAATAGCTGAGTGAATGAGAACAAACCAAATTTTTCTTTAGGCATAACTTTCAATTCCCAAATACACTTGGGTTCTGTTCTCTTTTAGTAGTCTTTAAATACAGCTTACAATTATATAATCATGTCACTTAATCAAACAAATGGCTTATCCTCTGATCTTATAAAAATTAAATAAGTTGTAATTCTAAGGGTGTTAGTAAAAATGACATTTTTTCTTCAAAACATGTTTTTGTTATATGACATTACATAACTGTTAGTACATCTTCCTTCTATTCTTTCGTTCATATACTAATTTCTTAGTTTTGTCTTGTTTTTCCAAAACAAAATTTTAATACCCTTTGTATTTATAACTGAGTGAAATGCTTGCTTACACTAGTTAGGTTGATTGTAGCTCCAAGATGAAGCTTAATTTTGGAGTTGGGGATATACAGTGGTAAGTACACACAGCCATTGTTGATGTTCCACCTAGGATAAAATGTCTCCTAAGATTGTGGAAAAGACATCCAGTGTACAAGTTGTTCTGGTGTTTACACATTAATTGCAAAGCTGGATGGTTTGTAGTATGCATCCCTCATTCTTGCTTTCTCGTTGATTTCATCTCCACCAGCCTCACGTGGCAGTACATATCTGAACACAGAGATCGTGCCCAATCACTTCTTATTGTCCCTCTGTTCTACGTGTGCTTGGGTCCTTAGTAACAAATGCATGCCATGTTGTTGAGTTGAAGTTGGTTAGGATTCTCATTTTTCCCTAACTTGCAAGCTTTTAGATGAAAGTGTTACCTTGGGATGTCCTATGGCTGTACTTGCCCAATGGTCACCTTGAAGGGTACAGACAGTCGTGGTCTGTCATCAAGTTAGTAACATACAGTTGCTTAGCTAAGGGAATAGACTGTTTTCTTAAAGGGAGACAGTAGGAAAGAGATCTGCTTGACTGCTGTTTTTGGCTATGGCATCGCTATCTTGTGATACTCAAATAAAAAGCAAAGACGTAAACTACAAAATTCCAGACACTATTTGATGTTGTATCTCTTTCTCTGTGATATGATAGGCTCAGCTTAATGTCATCCCTGCTAAAAGACAAAACAACAACAACAACAAAAGCAACCACCAAAACCAAACCAACCCTCTTCAGACAGCAGGCAGAATTAAATAGTAAATATCCTGACACGTGTATGGATAGCCGTGGCAATCAGACTTTACACAGTAAACAGCTGAAATATCTATTTGTCCTTTTAGATAGTTGTCTGGCATTATTTTTAAGACATTCCATTTGCTTAATATGTTCCTCAGTCTGTCTTGTCTTGATCCATATCACTTGCCATCTCCAAATTCATCTCGGAATAGTGTAGAGAAACACTTCTATTTTTGTTTGGATTCTATGTATTCAAACAAAAACAGATTCTAGATATAATATCCTCAGGCTAGACTAATAAGATTGCTGTCAAGATTGTTGAGTTTAGCTCATTGACTTAGTAATTCATTCATTCAAAAATTTCCAGCAAGTGCTTGCTCTATGCAGAAATCTGTACTAGCATGCTAAGCAAAGGGCATATAGTGACATGGGAGATGAGCCCTAAGCGGGCCATAGGGGAATATGAAAACAAGTAACAATACAAATACATGTTGTCCCAAGGTGCAGTGAATGAGAGAAATGAGCAACACAGGCCCTGAGAGACAACATGCAAACACCTGGAGTGAGTGAGGAAGGACATTTCTGAAGAAGCAGAATATAAATATGAGGAAGGCAGAGAGGTGGGGCTGTCAAAAAACAAAACAAAACAAAAGAAAAAACACATTTCAAAGACCCAGGAACAAGAAGTGCTTGGGAGATGACAGAAGACCTATGTGGTTACAGCACGAAAAGCCAGAGAGATGGAGATTAGACCAGAGCCTGGTGAGGAAGGCAGGACCCCACTGAGGACGCTTGACCGTGAGATCAGTTACAGACTTTCTCAGTGCTAAAATATAAAGCTGTGAAGGGGCTCAAAACTGAAAACTACAACAGCAACAACAACAACTGTGTTTTATACATGTAAAATGCAAGGTCTGTGCAGGGCCATGACAATGCTGTGACCCCTTTTGGGGCCCCTATCTTAAACATAAAACCTGATACTTGCTCTTGTATGAAGGATGCTTGTGAGTTATGGTACTTGGGAAGTGGTATAGGAGCCTGTGAGAAATGGTGAAGCTTAGACACAAGAAAGGAACTCTGACATATGCAATGATCTATTTAGTGAGGTTTTTTTCTCTTAGTTTGGGAATAAGAAATTCTCCATACTTCACTCAGAACCTGCAGTAAAAGCTGGGAAAGACTTGTTCACATTCTGGTCGCCCAGTGTTTCATCAGGTTCTAGAAACTTTGAACAGGATGCTTATAGAGATTGCTCCTGTTTCAATGGAAAAAAAAAAGTAGTTAAATGATTTAAAGGCAGACATTACAGTTGGTTAATTCCTTCAACAATTATTTTGAATTATTTCAGTGTTTGAGTATATAGCAATAAAACAAATGGCTGCCCTCTTGTGGCTGCCAGTCTAGTCGAGGGAGACAGAAAATTTAAAAAGGAATAAAACAAACATATAACCTGTTAAGGGTCAATAAATACTTTAAAAATAAATTGAAAGAGACACTCATTAGCAAGGAAGTATTTTACATATGGAATCCAAATAGATCCACAACAGTGCTGGGGTAGAGTGCTGCAAGAAGCGCCTACGTATTCTCAGGCCTTGGTCTAGAGGAGTGCTCTGCTTGGGGGAAGAACAGAGGCCCAGGCTGGAGCTGGGACACAGTACGAGATAACAAAGGTCTGAGTGAAGCCATGGCAGAATAGATTCAATTGAGGCTGGACATGTGGGATACTGTGATGCCTACTTTGAAGTGCCCAGGTCTCAGAGGGTTTGGAGAGGAGGTGGGGTTTGTCTGGATAGGGGGGCTTTGTTTAAGGTTTGCAAAATTAAAAGCTCCAGTGTGAAAACAGGTAGCCTAGTCAGGAGGCCAGAGGGAGTGAAGACAAAGCAGTATTGTCTGAATGTATTTCTAAGACAAAGTAAAAAATACTGTTATTTTGTGTGTGAAGTAGGAAAAAAACGTCAAGAGAGACTCAAAGATGAGTTTCTGGAATAACCAGAAGGTTGGCATTGTCATCTACTAAAAACGGATGGTCAGCAGGAATTAAGATTAGATGTCTCAAGTTTGAAATGCCAGTATCATATTGAAGATGGAAAGAGTTCAAGATTTAAACCGTAAAGTTATTAACACACAAAAGGTAAAACCAGACATCCAGGTGAGATGATATGAGAGCAAGAACAGATAGAAAAGGGACATCTATGTGACAACTCAGGCTCACTAGAGGCGATTAGAGGCTTGGGAGGTGAGCAGAGTCAGCAAGGTGGAGTAATGTGGCCAGTGTGGTGTGTGTGTCGCTGGTGGGTGTGTGAGAAGAAGGACGTGAGGAATGTTGAGCTGATCCTGCACACAGGGAGTGAAGCCCACCCACCTCCTTTGCCACAGAACCAGTGGGCACTGCTGAGCTATCCAACACCGACACCAGTTTCCCTCATTTGCAGAGTTACAGTCTTTGAAACATAATTACATGAGATCATTAAGGCAATTTAGAGTTAGAATATGCATAATTTTATAGGTTAATGATATTTTTATTCTCCATAAAGTGTCTTCTGGGGTACCATAAAAATTGTCTGAGGGGTTAAAAAAAAACAGAGCAGAATGTTTTGAACTTTTTTAAATTTTGTTTTCAAATTATTAATGTACTTAATTTAATTGGTTGTTTTAGTAATTAAATAATAAACACATACACACTGTTATCTTGCCAGAGGCTAAGGATGAATTTTGGGATATGATGTTGGAAATTGATCTTTTGACATCGTGGATGACATGTCAAAGTGCCATCAAGGTAGCACAAACACGTGTCAAAGCTCAGTGCTACAGGGCACACAGGGAATGTTTAATGGTTGTGACTTATCTTCTGGCAGGAAGTCCTGTGAATAGACAAGAGTTCATCTTGAACACAGAACACTTGGCTGAATATCCTTCTATTACCTCCTTGTATTTGTTGATGTTTGGCTTGTGGTTGGATTGTATTTGTTGATGTTCAGTTTGGCTGGTGAACTCCATTTGGCCTTTGAACCATTGGACTTCAATTGTTTTATGTTTTTGCTGAAATGGGATAAATGGGTAAAATCATGAAAACCAAGTAGCTTTTCTGGTAAGTCTTGACTGTCACTATCAGAATCATCATGGGGTCTGAACTTACCCCTAGGTACTTCTTCATGGTCGAGGAGGATAACACCCCACTGTCTGTCACTGTGACACCCTGTGATGCACCTCTGGAGTGGAAGCTTAGCCTTCAGGAGCTGCCTGAGGAGGCGAGCGCAGATGGATCAGGTAAGTGGCAGGATCCATCTAACCTCAGAGCTCTGAAACCCACAACCTGCTGCAAGGAAGGGAGACAGCCCAGTTGCACATGTGAGGCTGGAGCCTGATGCGGAGAAATGACATGAGATGACATGGATCTTGGTAAAGTAAAAGAGGCAAACGGGAGTGTGGAGGTGAGCTGTTTGGACAGCCTCTGTGTCTGTTGTCTGTAAGCCTGTTTGCATATTTGCAGCATCTGGAACTCCAGGTGCCTGCATTTCAGCCCCACATAATCCAGCTTAATTGCTGTGGGGTACAAAAAGCTCCCTACAGGTGGTTTTGTGGCTCAGGCAAGGTTAAGAATGTCTCATTTCTGGGAAGTAAAGGTGCATATATACTTTGATATTAATGGATTCAATAGTTCTGTTCTTCCTGTAATTCTGGAATAAATCATTCTATACACTTTCAATTTATGGTAATAATCTAGAAAAAAGCTGTTCACTCTGGTCACCCAGCATTCTATCGGGTTTTAGATATATATATAATTTTTTACTTTTTTTCCCTTCTCCCCCTCCTCCCACCCTTCTCCCCCTCCTCCCACCCTTCTCCCCCTCCTCCCACCCTTCTCCCCCTCCTCCCACCCTTCTTCCCCTCCCCCCACTCCTCTCCCCCTCCCTCTCCAGTCCAAAGAGCAGTCAGGGTTCCCTGCCCTGTGGTAAGTCCTAGGTCCTCCCCTCTCCGTCCATTCCTAGGAAGGTGAACATCCAAACTGGCTAGGCTCCCACAAAGCCAGCACATTACGTAGGTTCAAAACCCCGTGCCATTGTCCTTGGCTTCTCATCAGCCCTCATTGTTCGCCATGCTCAGAGAGTCCAGTTTTATCCCATGCTTTTTCAGTCACAGTCCAGCTGGCCTTGGTGAGCTCCCAATAGATCAGCTCCACTGTCTCAGTGGGTGGGTGCACCCCTCGTTGTCCCGACTTCTTTGCTCATGTTCTCCCTCCTTCTGCTCCTCATTGGGACCTTGGGAGTTCAGTCCAGTGCTCCAGTGTGGGTCTCTGTTTCTATCTCCATCCATCACCAGATGAAGGTTCTATGATGATATGCAAGATATTTGTCAGTATTGCTATAGGATAGGGTCATTTCAGGTTCCCTATCCTCAGCTGCCCAAGGAACTAACTGGGGACCTCGGCTTGGGCATCTGGGAGCCACTCTAGGTTCAAGTCTCTTGCCAACTCTAAGGTGGCTCCCTTAACTAAGAATTGTGCTTCCGTGCTCCCCTATCTAACCTTCCTTTATCCCAATCCTGAGTGAGGTAACCCAGACCCCAAAAAAATGAATATGGGATGTACTCACTCATTATTGGTTTCTAGCCATAAACAAGGGTCACGGAGTCTACAATTGGTGATCCCAAAGAAGCTAAGTAAGAAGGTGAACCAAAGGAAAAACATATAGTTGTCCTCTTGGCTATGGGAAGTAGACAAAATTGCCGGGGAGAAAACTGAGATCTTGGGGGTGGGGTGGGATGGGGGTAAGGGGAGATGGGGAGAGAAAAGGGAGAAGGGGAGAATGGGGGGAACTTGGGGAAAAAGGAGGATTGGGTTTTAGATATTTTATGCTTATATTTGCATGGCATTGATATTAACAGTAGCCAAATTTTTTTTTTATTGGGAAAAATCCCTTTGGTTTTTAAGACTTCCTCCATATTACCCTGGGAACCAATTCTGAACACTGGTCCTTATGCACCTTTACTGGCACTTTATGCCCTGTATTTTAACCAGGTTATCCAGTCCCACTATCAGTCATGAGATCTGAACAATGGGCCATGTGCAAGCAACATGTTTGAATCATTTTCATTCACATCGGATTAATAGTCTTTAGAAAGTTTGCTCTAAGTTTTCCTCTAACTGCACTCTGTCCTGAAGAAATAACTTAAATTAAGAAAAGCTTTGCTCATGCATGGGCACCATTTGAAATAGGAAAAGATAAATCAATAGTATTATTTTATGACATAAGCAAGAACGGGGTTTTAAAACTGGAGGCTTATCTAGATTCATATATTTATGAGGGTATATTTTATTAAGTTAGGGAGAGAAATCAGTGAAAATTACATTAACTGTTCAAAAAAACATGTAAGAGAAAAACTGGATAGAAGTATAAGAGTATTGTTAGTTTGGGTTTTTTTTTGGTTTTGCTTTTTGTTTTATTTTGTTTTTTACTCTTTGGGGGCCTGCCACCCAGTTTCCAAATATATACACTGAGACTTATCCTTACTTATGAATGCCTGATCTTAACTTGGGCTATTTATAGCCAGCTTTCCTTTATTTAAATTATTCCCCCTACCTTTTGCCTCTAGGCTTTTACCTTTCTCTATTCTGTATATCTTTCTTTAACTCCATGGTTGATTGTGTGGATGGTCCCTGGTGTCCTATTCTCCTATTCTTCTCCTTTTTTTTTGCTCCTCCTTCCTTCTCTATTGTCTCTGCATGCAGCCCTGACTATCCCTCTCCTGCCTAGTTATTGGCTGTTCACCTCTTTATTAGGTAATCACATGTTTTAGACAGGCAAAGTAAGACAACTTTACAGAGTTAAACAAATGCAATGTGAAAGAATTGCATCATTAAATATTTCACAGCATAAATGAGTGTAACACATCTTAAGCTATTATTCCACAACACAAGAATAACAATAGGACTTTCTGGTGAGATTTTGGTGACTTTCCTGCTTCCTTTGGTGCCATTGTCTTTGCTAGGACTGTGTCATTATCTTTGACATGAACATAAGATGTTTGAAAACATAATCTAAGGTTGACAAGCCACCGTAGCACTCAGCCTGTTCTTTTCCCTTCTTCTCCAGGTGACCCTGAACCACTTGATCAGCAGAAGCAGCAGAAGACTAACTTGGAGGGCACAGAACTATTCTCCTACAAGGGCAATGATGTTGAGTATTTTCTGTCTTCCAGTTCCCCATCTGGTTTATATCAGCTAGAGCTACTTTCAACAGAGAAAGACACACATTTTAAAATATATGCCACCACCACTCCAGAATCTGATCAGCCATACCCTGAATTGCCATATGACCCCAGAGTTGATGTGACCTCCCTGGGACGCACCACAATCACTTTGGTCTGGAAGCCGAGCCCCACGGCCTCTTTGTTGAAACAACCCATTGAGTACTGTGTGGTCATCAACAAGGAACACAATTTCAAGAGCCTCTGTGCCGTGGAAGCAAAGCTAGGTGCAGATGATGCCTTCATGATGGCACCCAAACCTGGCCTGGACTTTAGCCCTTTTGACTTTGCCCATTTTGGATTTCCAATAGATAATTTGGGTAAAGATCGAAGCTTCCTGACAAAGCCTTCCCCTAAAGTGGGACGCCATGGCTACTGGAGGCCGAAGGTTGATATTCAGAAGATCTGCATAGGAAATAAAAACATTTTCACAGTCTCTGACCTGAAGCCGGACACCCAGTACTACTTTGATGTCTTCATGATCAATACCAACAGCAACCTGAGCACAGCTTACGTGGGTACTTTTGCCAAAACCAAGGAGGAAGCTAAACGGAAAATAGTGGAACTAAAAGATGGGAGGGTCACAGACGTGTTTGTTAAAAGGAAGGGAACAAAGTTTCTGCGATTTGCTCCAGTCTCCTCTCACCAAAAAGCCAGCTTCTTTATTCACTCCTGTCTGGACGCTGTTCAAGTTCAAGTGAGACGAGACAGGAAGCTGATTCTGTCCCAGAATGTGGAAGGCGTTCGACAGTTCCGGCTAAGAGGAAAACCCAAAGCAAAATACCTCATTCGTTTGAAGGGCAACAAGAAAGGAACATCTATGTTGAAAATACTGGCCACCACCAAGCCCAATAAGCAGGCTTTCCCCTCTCTTCCGGAAGACACGAGAATCAAAGCCTTTGATAAGCTACGCACCTGCTCGTCAGTCACCGTGGCTTGGCTAGGCACTCACGAAAGGAGGAAGTTTTGTATCTACAGAAAGGAAGTGGATGGGAATTACAGTGAAGACCGGAAGAGGAGAGAGCAAAACCGATGCCTCGGACCAGACACCAGGGAGAAGTCAGAGAAGGTCCTCTGCAAATATTTCCACAGCCAAAATCCACAGGAAGCAGCGACCACAGAGACAATCAAAGATCTGCAGCCTGGCAAGTCTTACCTGCTGGATGTTTATGTTGTAGGACATGGGGGACACTCTGTGAAATATCAGAGTAAAGTTGTGAAGACAAGGAAGGTCTGTTAGTTACCATGAGTGAAGATGTGTAGACTCCAGCAGAGACATGGAATCACTCTGTAAACTGACTCTTCTCATGGAGGACCGAAGTTGTGACCTGGGATACCAACAAGTGTACGGTGATATCCGTGTAACATAACCTGGAGACTCACACAACTTGTACTCAAACACACCTGTGGTACTTAGGGTCCATCTGTCTGATACTGGTTGATGTCAAAGGAAGAGGGTATCTTGATGGATACCACCCCTTGCTTTGAGCACTGCATGAACTGCTTCTAAATTATTTTATTACCTAAAAATTAAAAAATATGCCATTTGTTGCACACATTCACAAATGCAAATCATTTCTTTCTATAGATGTTATTAGGGGAACATATATATATATATATATAAATTATTTTATAAATTCTGTTTTAAATGTTGGTGTTTCTATTATTGTAAGCTTATTAAATTCTTTCTCTGTTAAAGTATAGATCTAATCTAAGATCACATTGCCCTCTAGGCAGTAATATTGTTGTAAATTCTTGTTTGTTCAGTAAAATGTTTAAATGCTATGTGTACTCATGTAAAAAATGATATATAGTATATTCATGTACATAAAATTAAGAATATTAGATTATTACACTGTTCATTTTCCCAAGCAGTACTGTGGTGTATTCAGTTTCTTATCTGTCTCTAAAACTATGCTTCTCTGTAACTTGACACCAAAATTTAGTCTTATTTAGTAACTAGGAGGGAATATTGCCTCTCTTGACATTTACAGGCATCAAGAGCCGTTATTCAAATCTATATGTGGGCACCAAGTGGGAACCAGCCTTTGTGGGAGGCAAAGAGACCTGCTTGAGAATAGGACAAGGCAAACACTATCAGCCTAAGACAACATGACGACAACCTGACTTTAGGAGAACTGCTATTTCCCACGATCCCCCTTTCTTGTTTATAAAGTTGAGGGGGTTGTAGATGTGGATGTGGTGACCTGGTTAGATACCTTCTGTCACAAGAAGCTGCATTTATAGAACTCTAAAGCCTCACATTCTACAGCTACGGTGGGACAGGCACAACTCTCACTCTCTTTGCTGTCTGCTGCACTGCCTTTGCTGGCATAGCCTTTGCTAGGTGAGTTCACGGGCAACAGCATTGCTATAGAGTACAGGACTACTGTGGGGTTACTACTGTGGGGCAGACATGTGCTCTGCTTTCCTTCAGGGTAATGACAGTTATGACAGACACTCTAACTCCTCAGCAGTAACCTTTAGCAAAGCTTGTTCGTCCACATATGACAGTAATGATACCTGAGATATAATTTTTTTCAAAGCAGAAGACTATGCACCCAATGCTTTATTTAAGCAAATGCCTGCCATATAAGGAGAGACTGACAGTTAACACCCAGAGAAAATATACTTAATTATAAATGTGGGAGAAACATCTTCCTAATGTTGCTGGGTGACTTGAAAGTGGGACTCCAGTGGACCAGATTTACTGCAGCATTGATGGCCTGGACTCTTGGGTACTGACAAACACCCATGAGCCGGGAGCCAGGCTGCTGATCCACCCAAGTTGGCTTTTCCACTATCTGTGATGGTGGTTTCTTCATATTCTGGACAAATACAGGAATCCTTTCATGGCTCTAGAAAAATTGGCCTTTTGAACTAAGGAAAATGAAACAGACATTGTGAAACTTCTGCTCATAGCAAAGGGGAACCCATGACAATCATGCCTGCCACTGATGTTCTAATATCTCAAGAGCATCCAGGTAGATCAAAGGACAAGATAAAAAGACTTGTTCACATTAACAAAAGAACTACAACCTGGCTAATGTGAAAGGGGAGCCTGGCCTATGCTAATCTCTTCTCCGAGTGAACAATAGATACTGAGGGGAAGATGTCCAATGCTGTGGGTAGATGGATTTGAAAAGAGAGGATTTTGAGGTATTTAGTTCATTGTCTTTACTTTTCAGGTGCAATGATAGAGAAAGAACAGAATACATTTAAAACAAGAAAAATAAAAATAGAAAACTTGTTCAGGTGTGGTGGTACATTCCTTTAATCTCAGTACCCATGAGACAGAGGCAGGCAGAGCTCTGCGAGCTGGAGATCAACCTGGTCTGTCTAATGAGTTCCAGGCAGACGAAGGGGTACAAGGTGAGACACTATCTAAAAAACAAAAAGAACAGAACAAATAAGTAAGTGACCCCCTACCCCCCCAAAAACCTAGTAGAATAGTTGAAACAGCTAAGTGATTTAATTTGTAGACTTCAAAATCCTTTCCAAATACAAATCACCAATGTTTGATTGAAGGAGAGTCACTTGTGGATTAGTTTTTAAAGAGTAGTTATTTATACCAATCATTTCTAATTTTCTTGTTTGGAGACAAAGTATTTCTAGTGTAGGTTTGCATGCATAAGATTAAGTCTGTTTATTAATGGTAAAACCTAGATTTGGAGTCTAAAATTATTAAGTCTCTACAAAACATATAACACTTTTTGTAAATTTGTAATCAGCATCTAGATCACTTTGTTTTTGTGTACGGGTGTCTTGCCTGCATGTATGTCTGTGCACCAAGTGTGTGCCTGGCTCCTGTGAGGGCCAGAATTGGGTTTTGGATCTGCTAGAACTGCAGGTACAGATGGTTGTGAGCCACTTTGGGGGTACTAGGAAGTGAACTTTGTCCTCCAGAAGAGCATCCCGTGCTCTTAACCTCTGAGCCGTCTATCCAGCTCTATCCTAGATAGTCATCGACTTTAGCTTAGTTTTTAAACATTCAATGTTTAGACCTGAAAAAGACATATGCATCCTGGATTTTGTTGCCCAAGACACATTCCATGGCCTGAATAGTCACATGGAGTGATGAGAGCTCAGTCAACACTGATGAATTTTTGAATTTGAGTAACAATGCTTCTTTCAATTTTTTAAAAAATTATTGTGTTGTATTTTTATGGGTGTTCCATGTGCATGTGTATGCCTTTTGCATCTACAGAAAACACAAGAGGGCATAGGACCCCTTGAAATTGGAGTTAGAAATTGGAGTTACAGATGGTTGTGAACTGACATGAGAATTTTGGGAATTGAACCTGGGTCCTCTAGAAGAGCAGCAAGTGCTCTTAACCACAGAGCCATCTCACCAACCTTATAACTTAACACTTCTTAATCACTTTTGGGAAGCAGGGTTGGATATACTCAGTGAACACACACAGAAATACGTTTTTGCTCATAATTTCATGGTTAGGTCATTTTTAATCCAGGATCCCTTCAGCTCTTTCCCAATGCCTTCTACAGATTGACTAGCACTGCCACCTGCTTACAACAAGGGAACTGAGATCAACTCCAGACACCAAAGCAGGTTCCTTATCACCCTCCCAACACACTACAACACTCCCAGGGAACGTGGAGCACTGCCACCCTACTTTACAATGAGGAAACTGAGGTCTCTCCATGACTGGGACCCTTTGTTCCCAGCCTAATGCTTACTCCGCACTTGATTTAAAGCCTGACTTCACTTTAGGATGCATACAACAGCTTACCCAATTTATTTCTACAGAGCAGCTGTCTGAACAGTGACCCAAAACAGAACCTGGTGACTGACTTGAACACGCTTTTTTGGAACTTCACCATGGTTGCTTCCTTTCCCACTTTAATAGGGTGTCATAGAGATAAAATCTACTGGGAGCTTATCTTAAGCTTTTGTCCCCATGACCAAGCTGAGGTAATTCCATGCAGATGTCAGCTGCCATTTGCAGTTTTCTGGGTGACCCGGGATACATCAGGACACATGTATCATGTATTTTTCCCCAGAGGTATTTGGATAGAACTATACGTAGGATAGTGCGGTATATATGCCTTTGTTGTTGGTTTGAAAATGGAAAGGACAAGAGGAAGAGAAGACCAAGAGTGGAGGACAGAAAGAAGGACAGTTTTATCTGATTTCCTACTCTGAGGGGCCCTGGAGATGAAGTAAAAGTTGTAATACAATCTGTTTCATTAAGGTTTTGCATGCTGTCCTACATGCAACTCACACTGGAGATTAATTATGACCCAATTTGCCATCCTCTGTTAGAATTGGATGCTACTGATAGATACTTTTCATTTCCTAGGAGTGCCCAAACTTGTGTGGGATGCGATTGATTTAATTTCTCTTTAAACCCTTCTTTCCAACCTGTGAAAACTAGTTTTCCTAAACAAAGTTTAGAATGGCCTTTCAGGTTCACCCTGTATTTCTTTCACAGATGGTTTTATAATATTCTTTTCACTTACAAAAGGGAAAGGTTTCTGATGTATTGCATAGAAAAATAATTGACCCGGGACTGCAGAATTAAGTCCTAGACATAGAGGCACTGCTTCATTGTCTCGGTGTAGGTCTCAGTATGGACAGCCAGCGTTGGTAGGAGAAAGGACCCTGGGTTCTAGAAAAATCCAAGGATGTGTATATTATTCTGCACTACCATGTTTTCACAGCTGGAGGGAATACACCAAGAGGCAATCACAGACCAGGATGCTACTGGAATTTAGCCACTACCACTAAGCTACCCAGGAAAACTTTTAGGAAAGTGTGTGTTCCTGAAACTTGTTACAAATGTAGTTTTGAGATGGAACCAGTGACAGACATATAAGGTAACCTACTAAGATAAAGCCTTGCCCCCAAACATCAGGTATGGGGATAGTTTTTGGAGGAGATCAGTGTTGATTGAGAGTGATGGGTTGCAGACAGTGTGGCCTAAAAAAAACAAGACTATATTGAAAATAAGATGCTGAATGAGCCTCCTGTTTCAGGTTGGCCCTGGCATAAAATTGGGCTATTTCAGCAGCAGTTTCAAATGATAGTCTTAGCCTCCCTCCATGCCTTTCCTCTGTGTTTCCCTTTATCCCTTATCCCCTCTTTTCTCTCTCTCCATTCTTTATTTCCCCTCTTCCTTGCTTTCTATCCCTTTCTCCTTTCTCTTCTCCCTTCTCACAAATACTAAGATTAGAATCCAATCAAATTATCATGACTTCAAAAAAAAAAGCAAATATATCATTCTTCTTAGTAAGTGCCTCTTGGTATAATCACTCCAACTGTGCAAACATGGCAGCCCCGGATAATATAAGCAGTCATTTCAGGGTGAACCTTACAAAGCCCTGAGATGTCTATATTTAGTTATTATTCTAGCAGGATTTTGCTCTGAGATAAGCTATCTATATGAAGTAGAACCAAGCACTTAGTACTTAAAGCACAGACGGTTGATTATTTGAGGTGTCTTAGAAAATGTGCTCTGAACTGTCAAGGAGGACTTAATACATCAGCACCCTTACCGCCTAGGCTGGAAAAGCCACACAGTGCTAGACCAACACCCCAAGAAACACAGGGGCAGGTGTGTTCTAGAGATTCTTTCTACCTGGGACTCAGGAAGTGGTTCAGTGGTTAAGAGTACTGACTTCTCTTTTGGAGGACCTGAGTTCAATTTCCAGCACATACATGACAACTCACAACCATCTGTAACTCAAATTACTACTCAACACAAGTAATT